GGGCCGGTGCCATGTTGTAGCCGGGGCCGGGGTGCGGCGCCATGCGAGGTTGAGGTGGGCTCGGCGCATAACCGGCGGGCACATGTTGTTGTCCGTAAGGGGCCGGCGCTTTAGCCAGCTGCGGCGCATATCCATAGTTGGTCGGTGGTCGGTAGGAGGCTGCAGGAGGAGGCGCACGTTGTTGACTTTGGTGATGCACCTGGGGAATAGGTACCGCCGAAGGTGGCCGTTGTTGGTAGATGGGCGGGTTAGGGCGGCCTGGGGTCTGGGGGAAATGCCCCTGGGCATTGGCGATCGGACGGGCCGAAGGTGTGAACTGACCGGGATACTGATGAGCGAACTGGCCCGGGCCGCCAGAAACACTACCCCTCTGTTGCTGCCGCTGGTTCGTGGATGCGGCTGTTGCCGCAGCCTGCCTGGCGATACGGGCCTGTTCATCCTCCTCCATAACACCCTTGTACTCGTCTGTGCGAATTTCAATCTTTGTGCTCACATTGAGCTCCCCGAGCTTATCAGCATTGAGTCGAGCTACTGCGTATGGCGGTAAGTTCTGAACAATGCTGGATAGCTGAGCTTTCAGTGCCTGATACGTCATCATTTCCTCCTCGCTGGGCTGGTGAGATAGGTTGCCATTGCGAAGCATATCTGCGTTGACAGGATCCGCCGAGTACCGATCCTGGCTGGTAGGCAGCGTGAGGTTTCTGTTACGCTGATAGGATGCCAAAGTCTCGATCAAGTCCGACACCTCTTCGAGCATGTCATCCATCTCCTTGTCTTCAGCGGACTTGCTACCGCCCAGAAGCTCCTCCAAGCTAGGATCAACGAGGTTGTCATCCCAGTTCTCAATGGCGGACTTGACGAGTTCTTCGTCAATTTCGACATCCCCATCCGTACCAGTCATCGCCGTGTCGACATTTCCATCTTCTGCACCTTCAACATCAACAAGCTTTTCGAAGTTCCTCCGTCCAATGCGTTGCCACCATATGCGACCAAGTTGACCGGAGGGGATAATAGCCGCTGAGTCGTCTTTGCACGGGGCGAAACTGGAAAACGCGCCGCGAAACATAGCCTCCATCTCCGAAATTTCGAGCTCAGTCGACGACGGTCGGTGACCCGCCAAACTCTGGGCTCGCTCTCGTTGCTTCGACCTGGCGTGAGAGGTCGGTGTTGCGTTACTGTAATCTAGCCAATGTCCTGTAGAAAGGTTCTGTGTAAAGTATGTATCCCTCCGATACCTGGACTTCTCAGTGAGCTCTGGGTGGTAGAAAGTTAGGACGTTGCCCTTGGTAGTATTCTTGGGCGCCTTGGGAGGCTGCAGCGGGGGCAGATTTCGAGGCGACGGGAACAGCTCTCCTAGGGTCAAAGAACGAGCGTTCTTATCGCTTGTTGCCGTGAATTCGGGGAGAATACGCGTGGCCGTCACACCATGCGGCAGCAATCCCTCCGGAATAGGCTTCACAACTCTACCGGGAGCTGTCGCTCGTTGAAGGCTCGTGAACAGAGGTCTAGTGGTTGGTGCCGTGCCAACAGTAGTCAAGACGAGCCCTCCCATGCCGCCATTCATCGCTTCCTTCAAATCTGGTTTTGAGGCCACAGGTCGAGGAACCTGAGGGTATGCCATCTCCCGCCTGTATAGCTCCAACGCCTTGGACCGGAATGCTGCGGTTTGCGCGACGGCTTCCTCGGTCGAGCCGTTCTCAGACTCGGAGCTGGCAGATTCAAGTTCGACGAGTTGTGCCCTTACTGCTCGGACAACGTCAGATACCAGCTCGTCCACAGTATTATAGGCATTCTGGCTGATCTTGTCGGCGATGCTGGGTTGCGCGCTTCCGTCTTCGGATTTTGGCTTCTTTGGCGGCGAAGGGTCGTCGTCGGAGTGAGGCTCAGGTAAAGGGCGCTTGAGGATAGCATGGCTGCCTATGTCGAGACTGTAGAGAACATCGCAGTATTAGTAGTCCGTAGTCAATGGTCGACTAGAAGGGAGACATGTTTCATGACTGCCATCATGGACAACGATGGTGACAAGGATATGTGTGACAAGATGCATGAGGGACGGGATGCATACCTTTGCAGAGTGGTAAAAAAGTCAGAGATGAGTACTTTGCTATCGCGAACGGTGTGCAGGCCATTGACGGTTGGTTTTGACCCGTCGGCGTCGGAGCCATTGATTTCTGGGCCGCTGTCATCGTCGACGTCGCGTTTCCGCTTGGTTGAGTTGACGGAGGCAGGGGATTGCGGCCGCGACAATGTCGTGACGCCGTTCGCCTGAGGGGCGGCGACGGCGGGCGAAGCCATGTCCTTTTTTTTTTGGGCGGGGGTAAAAAATAGCCGTGGGGATGATGCTATGGTCGACAAAGTAAAAGTCCAGCACTCTAGTCGGCTGGGGTTGCGGACTGTCGTGAATGGTCCTGGCCGTGGCTAGGTTGCAAAATGGTTGGCTGGTGACGCTGTGCGGGTTTGGTGGTGGTGCTCTTTAGCTGCGGGCTGTCGAGGTGCCTGGCGATTGTCGCGCGATTCGCGTTGCCGGTCGCGAAGGGAGGGAAAGTGGAATGCTGCGGTCCAACTTGCACGCCAAAAGTGCGATTGCTGCGGTTCCAGGTTGCTGTGGCCGTGGTCCGTGTCGTTGGTCTCAAGCTGGGGGAGGACGGACGGACTGAGGTGACTTGGAGGGAGGCCGGGCCACACTAGTTGGAGGCTGCGGTTGCTTCTGTTGCTGCTGCTATTGAGGGTTCTGAGTGCTGAGTGCTTGCTGTTCGCTGGAGTGAGAGTGCTCCCGTCGTTATTAGGAGCAGGTCCGCTCGGTGCGACCTGAACGTCCAAAAGTCTCCAAAAACTTTTGTCGTCTGAAAAAGAGCAGCGATTTGTTCAGAGATGAGAAAACTCCATCCACACCTGGCATATGGAGTTGAACAAAAATACTCGCAGTCGTTTCAAAACCCGTGAGTAACAGGTATCAAACTTCCAAACGAAAGTAAAGTAGTTCAAGAAATATCGCGTTTCCAGGTTGCGTGCAACGAGGGAAAGATGAGGTGGCCCTGGACAGTCTCCGGCTCTCAGATCTCAGTCAGTCAGTCAGTCTGTCCTTCAAACAGTTGAATTGCAGTTGGTTACGAAAAGCCAGCCGCCCGAGGCCAATCCTGCACTAGCGTGCATGGGGTAACTAGTGGGGCTGGTCAATGGTGAATTCACGTGAGAGGCTTGGTCCGTGCCTCTTGGTGCTTCTTGATCTTCGCCGGCTTCAGCGATCCCGCCTCCCTTGGATCCCATCCTCAATGAGTGTTGAGTAAGTATTACATTGTGATCTGTGAAAAGGAAGGCGGCATAAACAATCATTTCTCATGATTGTTGTTGGAGACCTTACACACGTCAGGTTGTGTACTATTCGACGGATAAGCTTCCATGGCAGCGAGCCGGACCACAGTCCTGGAAGCTGCAACACCCTCAATCTGGTCTTGGCAACATTAATGATCAGAGACACTCAACAATAAAGATATTACTCAAGTCTTATGATATTTCAATTCCAATATGTCTTGTTGGTCCAATCCGGCTTCAATGAGCCATTTGGTCCCAGATACCAATACTGCTATTATACTGCATAAAAGAAACAAACCCAATACCGCAGCGCCCTCCCATCATCATACAGTCATTAAGAGAACTACTTGAACAACGTGACAATCTCGTTAACTCCTGCTCCCCGACTTCAGGTTACCCAAACTTCTTCCCTCTTCCTCCCCAAGGCTAATTTAGCGCTTGGCGGTGGCGATGCCGACAGTATCGGCGCCGAGGTCGTAGACTGTGTAGTACTTGCGGAGGAAAGCATCACCAAGGATAGCCAAGGGACCAACTGGGGCGGGCATATCCATTCCCATGAAGGTCGACAGGCAGCTACCGGAGGCCTCCAGGATGTAGTCCTCGGGGCCAGGGTGAAGTTGTAGCCAGCAAGAGTGAACGTTACCTCCTTGAGGCCCGTCTTCTTGGCGCAATCGATGGTGAACTGACCGTTCCAGCTCTTCTTGGCACCGATCTGGGCATTCAGCATCTCAGCGAGCTGGCTGGGGAGAGCGATAAGAGAGGTACCAGTGTCGAGGATAACGCCATGACCCTCAAGGTCCGCAATGTCCTCGCCGTAGCCAATGGCATCGAAGTCCACCTCCCAGTAGGCCTTGCGGCGGAGGGGAATGGTGGTGATCTTGCCAGTGTACCTGTCCTTGTTGACACCGCCAAACACAACCTCGGACTCGCCATCCTGGTCGGCGAGGTAGAAAGAGAAGACAGGCTCATCAACGAGCTTCTGCTCAACCATCTTGTAGAATGGAGGAGTGATGCCATTCACGGCAATTCTCGAGTAGCCGAGACCGAGAATGCCATCAAAGCGACCAAAGGCGAAAGCCAGGCCAGGCTCGCTGGTGGCCTCGGCAAAGAGCTGGTCATTGATGGTAATGTCACCAATGGTCATTCTGTCCTGAGAGACGAAGCCGCTGAGGCTACCAGAGCCATACTGAATCTCAAAGCTCGTTCCATTCTTCTTGTACGTCGACGACTCGGAAGACTCGTACTTGTTGTGGAGGTAGCAGGCGATGGAGCCGCACTGGGACGAGGGAACCCAGAGGTTGGAGCTGCCGGTATCCAGAACTACCTTGAAGGTCTGGGGTGGCGTTCCGAGGGTGATTTCGGAGAAGTCTATCAGACGTTAGCTACTGTGCCCATGCCAACGAATATCGAGGCATCGAACTGCTTACACTGAGCGTTCATAAAGTTGGAGATGGGAACCGGGTGGTTGCCGGTAACCTGGGCATCGGTGGCCTTGAACATGGCCTGGGTATGGGACTCGGGCCTGAGACCAGTGTACTTCTGTCCGAGGTGCTGCACCTGCATATCGATGGGAACAGACTCCTGGTAACGGACATCATTATCAACAAGTGTTCAACATAGCCATCAAGGGACATGGACGAGCACTTACAAGCTGCTCCGCAAGTGGGACCTTCTTGAGCTTCATCGTATGGACTCCGGCCTGAGCCGAGCCGAGCAGCATAGCTGCCGTCAACAAAGCGCCCTTCATCGTGAGCACTGTAGTAACAGAAACGAGTGTGGAACGAAAGACTGGCGACGAATTTGGATGATAAGATGGTTGTTGATGATGGGACAAGAAGCAAGGGTTGTTGGTGGAGAATAACAGTGGATGAATGGGGAAAGAGAAAGAAGACGGGAAGAGAGATGTCGGTCGGAGGTTACTTATGGGTGGTGCGGGTTGTTGCAGGTGAGTTGGAGGTCGACCCGGGCCTGTTAAAGTGGCAGAAGTGGAGAGGCGCAGCTGCTGGCGGGTGCGGGTGTGATGTGGACGATGGCGAGGGAGACGATAAGCCGCTAGATGGCTAACAAACTACGCAGGCACTTACATACAGCTCATGTTAAGAATCTTGCACATCCTGTTTCCATTTCCCAGCAGCGGCCCTTGCTGTTTCGTGTGACCCATGGGGAAGGAGCTTGGCCGCTGGCTGCCTACTGGAGGGAATCGTGAAGCGATGGCACTTTGATGGTCCAAATGGTCCAGTGGCAGAAGTGGTTGCGCGTACCTTGCTGTGCCTGGTGACCCAATGACGTGTGACCCAAGACCAGGGCCGGTCGCTGGCTCGCTGCAGGCAGGGGCTTCTTGGGGTCGCGATCGCTGACCCTATCAGCGCAAACTCGTGCAAACAAGGCGCTCATCGCTTCCCGGCCAGCCATGGGATGATTGGATTGTTTGCAAAAGTGTCCCCACTTTAACCCAGACAAACCGGAGGTGGAGCCAGTGAGACGAAGACGGCTAACCAAGACATGGATTACATAACGGCCTGCCATTGAACCAGAGAGGTTCACCGTACCTTTTCGCTATGAAGTGGTCGACACGACTGAAACGGGACGCATGAAGGGACGGGGGAGACAAGGCATGGAAGGCCCATTGAATACGGATGCGGACGGAAGCACAAGACAATGGCTGTCTGAGACTCATCATCGACATCAAAACAATTCAACTATGCTTGACGGCTTTGAGCTGAAGAGCACTGAGAGGTGATACTTCACGAGCTTAGCTCCTGGTAGTGCAGCGAGCCACTGATTTGAGTTATCGTAAGACGATAAGGCAAGGTACAATGTAACTCCGTTGGGTTCTTGGGGGGTCCTGTTCCATCGCGATTCGTGGCATCCAGTAGGAACATTGGTTCAAAGGAGCACCCACGGCACCTTCAAGCCAGTACGCGAACCTGACGCGAAGATGCACGACTGGACCGTGTAGACGGGAAGTCGTGAGTGGTTGAGAGCTGAAGTGTCAGGTGTAGGGTCAGGTGAGGTGTCATGCCCCCATGAGGTGTCGTCCTCCAAGCCGATAAGATAAACCTGTAGTTCGCCTTATAATCTTATCTCTAATCGATACTAGAGGTGCCCTGTCATTGAGGTTGTGAGTCTTCACAAATAATTAAGTGCGAAAATGGAATAGTCAACCAGAAAGTCTGGGCTAGTAGCGCACAGGCTGAGGCTTGAGCCGACGAGAGGGAAGAGACCGGAGATGTTGAGGCCAAGACTTGAAACTCGAGACCAATTCAAGACGGACCGGAGGAGGAAAGAGTCATCGTCGACACCCGCAATGGCCCGGTAGCGAACCCCGGTATTGCAATAACCAGGATTACGGGCCGCAAAGCTCAGGCGAAGCTTCACGCCAGTGACCAATGTGGTGGAGAAAGCCATGTCGATTGCGGGGTCCAGACTCTGTTTCGAGGTCCGGAGATCGGGCCCCGTCCTTGCATTGTTGCGGCGGATTGGCACGTTTTGGCGATTTTGGGTAGCAGATTTGCAGCTGAGAGCGATTGCGAATTGGAGGACCTGCACCTTGGCGGGGTTCCAATTTTTCTTTTCCATCCCTCCTCCCCGCCGCCTGTGACTGATGAATGGACCCGCGACTGGACTGGACCCGCGGGAGTAGCCACTCAATTGTGAGGTTGACTCGTCCAGCAACCCTGGATCACAGTGCCCCTCCTTCTATATCATCTCAGTCATCGGTCCCCCTCTCTTCCTCTCGTTCCCTCCCGTCTTTTCTTCTCTCCATCATCATCATCATCATCCTCCTCCTCAATTCTCACATTCGGCCTCTCACTCTCCAAAGAAGCCAACCCCCCAAATCAGTCATCATGTCTTCCTATGCCCTCTCCGAGACTCACAAGACCGTACGTGGTAACCCTTCTTCTCCAATTCCGATGTGGATTACCCCAGGACTTTTCAATGGCTGGACAAACATGTTGACTCATAACCTTGCGCTATACAGATGCTCGAGCAGAGCTTGGTCGAGTCCGACCCCCAGGTCGCCGAGATCATGAAGAAGGAGATTCAGCGTCAGCGCGAGTCCATCATCCTCATCGCCTCCGAGAACGTCACCTCGCGTGCCGTCTTCGATGCCCTCGGCTCCCCCATGTCCAACAAGTACTCTGAGGGTCTCCCCGGCGCCCGCTACTATGGTGGTAACCAGCACATCGACGAGATCGAGGTGCTCTGCCAGAACCGTGCCCTCGAGGCCTTCCATCTCGACCCCAAGAAGTGGGGTGTCAACGTTCAGTGCTTGTCCGGCAGCCCTGCCAACCTCCAGGTCTACCAGGCCATCATGCCCCCTCACGGCCGTCTCATGGGTCTTGATCTCCCCCACGGTGGCCATCTTTCCCACGGTTACCAGACTCCCCAGCGCAAGTAAGTGTCACACCAAGTCACACCAGTCAAACAAGGGATCGGTCAAGCTAACCCGCCCGCCCGCCTCCAGGATCTCTGCTGTCTCTACCTACTTCGAGACCATGCCCTACCGCGTCGACATTGACACCGGCATCATTGACTACGATACCCTCGAGAAGAACGCCCAGCTCTTCCGCCCCAAGATCCTTGTCGCCGGTACCTCTGCCTACTGCCGTCTGATTGACTACGAGCGCATGCGCAAGATTGCCGACTCCGTTGGCGCCTACCTTGTCGTCGATATTGCTCACATTTCCGGCCTCGTTGCCTCCGAGGCTATCCCCTCGCCCTTCCTCTACGCCGATGTCGTCACCACCACCACTCACAAGTCCCTCCGTGGCCCCCGTGGCGCCATGATCTTCTTCCGTCGTGGTGTCCGTTCCGTTGACGCCAAGACCGGCAAGGAGACCCTCTATGACCTTGAGGACAAGATCAACTTCTCCGTCTTCCCTGGTCACCAGGGTGGCCCCCACAACCACACCATCACCGCCCTTGCTGTTGCCCTTAAGCAGGCTGCCTCTCCCGAGTTCAAGGAGTACCAGCAGAAGGTCGTTGCCAACGCTAAGGCTCTCGAGAAGAAGCTCAAGGAGCTCGGCTACAAGCTCGTCTCTGACGGCACTGACTCTCACATGGTCCTCGTCGACCTCCGCCCTCTCAGCGTTGATGGTGCCCGTGTTGAGTTCCTCCTTGAGCAGATCAACATTACCTGCAACAAGAACGCCGTTCCCGGCGACAAGAGTGCCCTCACCCCCGGCGGTCTCCGTATTGGTACCCCCGCTATGACCTCCCGTGGCTTCGGCGAGGCCGACTTCGAGAAGGTCGCCACCTACGTCGATGAGGCCGTCAAGCTCTGCAAGGAGATTCAGGCTTCCCTCCCCAAGGAGGCTAACAAGCAGAAGGACTTCAAGGCTAAGATCGCCGCTGGCGATATTCCCCGCATCAACGAGCTCAAGCAGGAGATTGCTGCCTGGAGCAACACCTTCCCCCTCCCCGTTGAGGGCTGGAGGTACGATGCCGGTCTCTAAATGTGTCATTCACGTAGAGAGATCTGAATGTTTTGTGTGGTAATGATGATATACGGTATACAAGCGATTGGGGCATTTTTCAACAGCGATGCCAATGGGTCACGGATATGTTTTTCAACTTTGCATGAGACCCGGGATGAAGGCTTGGGAAAACTAAAAACAGGGTGGTAAACAGGTCACTGGATTTGCGATCTCAACAACGGATTAGGTTACGGAAAAAAATTACTGGAGTCGGAAAAATTCACCATATTGCATGCATTTTCAAGGGGCGTTGCAATTTGGTATTTGGTCCTCAACATGATCATTTTTCAGGACTGCGGAGTTCAATGGGGATAACTAGTTGTTTTAGACGACTGCTTCAACGCGGTCGGGGGTAAAAGTTTTATACCCTGGATAATAATGGACGCAAATATTTTGCGGCAAACTGAAGAAGATGGCCCTTGTTGTGTGTGGTGTTGCGTTGCGTGGAAGTGTCTGTGCCCGTAGTGGTATGCATGTCGGGTTTTTTGCGACGATCCCTTTTGATGTCACGTTGTGGGAGGACACTATACCGGATGGATAGATCTACCTGGTATGCTATCGTCATTTAACTTGGGAAGATTCGCAGATGTGAGGCAGGATCAAATTGAAGATATATGTGTTGGTCGGGATGAAATGTCTAGATGGTGCTGCCCTGGTGCCTCCGGACTTTGCTCCGGACGCCCTGCTTATCGCCATGCCGCTTATCTTTTCATCAACATTCACCCCTGTCTAACATGTCGTTGTGGTGTGTTTACTTCAGGACACTCGACGATGAAGAGGTGTCAACGCCCGATCCAGGGTACCAATTGCGGAAAATAGACTTCACCGGTTCACTAGGTCTGTTCTGCTTTTTTATTTTATTTATTTATCGAGTTTCCTTTTGCTCGTGCAAGGATCAAAGACTGTCGAGGGGTGTCATCGTCAGTGCTCATGTTGACATTCGTCGAAGGTCGCAACTCCCAACTCCAGATCGCACTATAGCCAATGATGTGGCAATACTTTAACTACCATGGATGGGTTGCAAAGAAGATGGAATGAATATATTCGTTCTTCAATGTAGGACACGAGTCCCAGGACCGGTATGCGCAAAAAGGTGACAAAAATCTTCGGGTCCGTATGACGCGCAGTTTGCGTATATATTCATCATCAATCTCCCCCCCTCTTCCAAATGTTCTAAGCAGCATTCACCGCCTCCCTCCTCCCTTCAAATCTCCCACTCAACCAAAAACAACACAACTCTTCCATCCTTCCATACACCTTCCATACACCACCATCACCACCATTGTCAAGATGTGCACCAACCAGACAACCCCCCAAACCTACAAGCCGAAACCAATCGACATCTACCTAACCGATCCTCTCCAAGCCCGTTCCAACGACCAAGACCAAGACCAAGCCAACGCCGACACCAAAAAATGGGCCAACTTCTTCCATGCACTCACCACCGACGAACGTTGGAGCGCAGCAACAGGCTACCAGTACTCTACCAACATCCTGGAGCTACGCCCCGACCTCTCGCTAGTCCCCACCTCCAACAACAACAACAACAACCAATACTACACCACCTGGCCCGAAGCGCGCGAGAAAACCAAACTCGCTCGCGAGATTCTTTTGTCGTTGAATTTTGTCGAAATCCCGAGCGTCTGGAGCCCGAGGGTGCAAATGAAGTGGGTTGGGTTTCCGGATAGGGAGTTCGTGAAGAAGCAGATGGGGATGCGGGGGCTGGAGAGGTTTGAGAAGAGGTATGGTGGAAATCATGGAATGGGAAATGGGAACCGGGGAACCGGTGGTGTACCGGATAAGGAGTGGATTGAGTTTGTTAAGGCTTATGGACCCGGTTGGGGTGAGGAGGAGAGGGGAGAGGGGTGGGTTGCTTCTGTGCTTTAAGGGCTTAGGGGGAAGGGAAGGGATATGATGGCGGGTTTTGGTGGACTGGTGGTTACTATGATAGTCGAGAAGAATTGCTTGTAGGGTTTCAATTGATTCTGGGAGCTGGGCGAAGGGAGAAGCCATTGGACACTGAAGGGGCTGATGGTCAAGCCTCAAGAGGCTAGTAAACGTGCGAGAGAAAGTAGACGGTTAAGCCCAAGGGAGGCGTTTCTTTGTTTTCGAGGCGGGTGTTGGATAGATATATCAGAATAACTGCACTGTTGGTTGGTTGGTCATTGCAAGGTAACTTCCCGTGTCGGTCGAGTCTACCAACGGCATACTTCCACTTGTTCGATGTAAGGAAGAGAGGAACCAACAAATAGATAACCCCGGAACGGCGCATAGCATACTAGCTAAATACCATAATTTGGACGGGAACGGCGGTTAGAAGCATAATTTTGGTGTTTGGTATATTCGAGACACCAATGTGGAAGTCTCTTTGATGGATAGGATCATGTATGTGGTTATCGGTGGAGATTGGTCATCTTTTACCCTGCGTCGTGCCTCCCTCGCCTGCCTACCTGAATCCCCAGATTCTGCGGTAGGCACATAGCACCTGCCGTCTTTTTCCTTGTCTCACAATGTTCTCGTTTCTTTTGTGTCTTCGTCTTTTCATCACCTCCTCCTTGCAAGTCTCCAACTTGTACCGTCTTGTTTTCACTTCCTCGTCGCCATTTCTCCGCATTCCATACTTGCTAATGATCTGGTCATCGAAAGATAGTTCATCCGCAGACACCGAATAAGAATGAGACCGATAGTCTTTTTTTTATGCTGTCATCAGCGAGTGGTCCAACTGCAGACACCAAATCACACAACACGGCCAGTAAAACTTGGTATCATAACCGTCCCAAGCGTATAGAGGACGGGGGGGGCTCAGGGATTCTTTGATGTAACAGATGGGTGAGTGTCACATGGAGACGATCAGGCTTTCCAGTGTGCTTTTGATCGTGACGTTGTTTGGATTTTGATTTCGACTTTTCGTACTGATTTGGCCAACGGGAATGTCATTTCAGTATGACTACAATGGTGAATTTTTCCGCGTGTTATCATATGGACCGTATGCGCCGAGAGGTCGTCATGCTAGTAATCAGGTATCATGTTGGCATCTTGATGGCTATTAATCCAAACGCCAGGGCCTGATACGCCCAACAAGTGTTGATATCATAGCCGCTAGGTTCGTCACGAGCATGATGAAAGCTATAATGTCTTTGATAGAAGAGGCGAGTGTCACACCGGATGGAGACAAGCGCATTGTTCTGTTGTTTTTACTGATGTGCTCTTTATTCGAAAACTCATGCTGACTGACTCCACCAACGACGGTGTTGTTGAAATATGGAGCCAACGGGGTAACGGCCAACAACACACTGCCTTTGCATGAATCGATTGCGGCTAAGAGCTCAAGTGTTGGATACGGAGTACGTTCAAGAAAGTTGATTGAGCTTTTGAATTGATTTCACGCTTAGCTTGAGCATATCCCATGAACCACGCCTTCCTTGAACCACTCGGACTCAAATTCGACACTTCACAATCTCTCGCACTTGTTCAGACCAGATACTTTTCAAAGCCTACAGCATAATCTACGACGACCATAACAATCAATCGATGATGACAGGCAGGCCGGGAAGCGAAAGTCACCTAACCAATGAGGAATTTGGTTTCCCAGGGTTCATCCGTTTACACCTCACCAATGATGGGTTGGACCAGGGTATTCAAGACGGCGAGCTCAAAAATTGGGAAGCATTTTTGGTGGAACTCATGAGAAGTGAAGCCTGGCCCCGCCGAATCAACTATCATTGTCCTTATTCCATCTCAGATCTCCCAAAGGACCCTCCTCCTCCGCAAAAAACACTTCTGCCGAAAACGACCATCTGCCAAAAAGGACTTCTCTCTTCCGAAAATTTCTCCTCCCACCATCTCTTTTGACAGCCTAAAGATTCACCCCGTACTCACGTTCACTCCCACTTTTGATGCAAGAGACAACACCACTGGGGCGGAGGAGAATATTAAACTTGCTCAGGAAGATACCAAAACCGCCCAGGATATGCTTAGACGTCTAGGATTTGTCGACTTAAAACAATGTGGCAAACGTGACTCTCATTTTGAACGCATTTTCATGAGATGGCCATCGAAGAAACTTATCCCAGATCACCTCCTCAAGCGCAAGCGGAAGTCTGTTGTGTTGGAGCCAGGGGCAGTCTATGGTATAGGGCAGGAACAGGAGGGAAAAAGGGCAGAGTTGGAAAAGGTCTAAGACCCAACGAGGATTATGTCGTGGCGTCATGGTGCATTCTGTCTACTCAAGTCAGACTCCAGACCTGAAATCTAGCGGCCTGAAGCTCATGGGTATATAACCCTGCTCTGGATGTGGACTTCCTCTCGGGAATATTTTCCTTCGTAACACAATGTCTTTAGTCGCGGCCAGCTAAAGTAGAGCTGCAGTCATTTGGGTGTCCTGGAAGCGCTTTGCTACGTTTGTGATAGCTACCACAAGACGAATCACGAGGAGAGGGATCTGTTCTTTGACGAAAGACGAATGGGTGTGCTACGCGCATGGACGGGACATAATCATAATACATAATATGTTGGTTATCACTGATGTGGTCTTTGGGCAGGCTGGACCAACGGATGCGCTGAAGGATGGGTTTTTGAACCAACAAGGAAACGGCTAACAATGACAGCTTGTGTAAAAACGGATAGTGCCTAAGTTCACCCATTTTTAAGTTCAGTCGAGCATTGCGTTGAGTTCCTTTGACGATTCGACGCTTATGATGGGTATATAGTATCAAGCACCGGTCCCGCCTTTTTCTGTTCAGTTTAATCAGACTCAGACTCGACACTTCAGTCTGTCTCCCCTCTCTTATTGAACAAGCAAAACTCTTCCAACCATAATCACCACTGTCAAGATGTCCGACAACCAGCAACATCAAACCATCACGGCAGTCGCTAAGCGCCAGATAGGAAGGGATATCTAAATAGTTGAAGCCAGGCAAGTGGAAGGTTCCAATGCCCAGAATGGGTAAGATGTAGCTGCTGTCAGCATCTGGTCGTTTTGGAGGAGAAATAAGGAAGGTGCGCGTCATTTCAAAGGCAGCTCTTGCCTACCGAGATATGGGAAGTTGAGTGCGCTGGCTCTTGGTCATTACAGGTGGAAGTTGCTGTGTTGAGTTTACCTACCAATACATCCGTGCTTGTTGAGAATATGGAAGGACCCAGTGAGGGAACAACGCAATGACGGATGCTGCATATGGTCTTGAAGGACGGAAGTTACCTGTGTTAATCATGTGGTTGAGGTTGATATCGCCAAAGCAAAAGGGGAAGGAAGTCACCTGAAGGGATTGGTGTCTGGTTTGTATGCATGTTAAATCCCCCATTCATGACGAACTTTACACTCACCATAACTCATCACATCTAAATTACTTCTTAAGCCATCTCCAGAAGCTTAAGGTACTCAATAATTTTCCATTCACATTCCATTACAAACCGAATTCGTGTCCAACCAGCCAACCTTAACATCGTGCTTCATCCACTAACATCTACCGTCGCAGCTTTCACGAGCCGTCCCCGTCTGCTTCCACGTCAGGAGATTGAAAGATGGGCGGTCTTGCTCGAGGAGGCACCACTGCTTCATGGAGCTCCCCCATGGAACCCATTGGCAGACCCATCCACGTACAGCTCACGTGTCGTCCCCGTCTGTGTTCACCCGAGGAAGTCCGAAAATGGAGAATATTCTGGAACGGTTTTATCGGACTATTCAGCTGCTGGACATGCTACAAACTGGTCATACCGCCAAACAACCCCGAAGCGTTTGGGCCATTGGGCAATTCGGATCCCTTCTTGGTGCTGCAGTCGACCTTGACGGGGCCATTCGCATCCGACGTGAGGGCGGCAGAGAAAACACAGGCTGCCTGCAGAATACTCTTGGCGATGGGGTTTATGGACCTGACGATGCCGCACATGAAACACATTCTGCTGACGTGGGGTTATCCAAACCGCAAGTGGTTAAGGAGGACGATGCCGGGCTTGGTAGAGGGACTCGAGATCACTTCTGACGATGTTGGCATTCCGGATCTTCGTTGGCTCGAGTACATTCAGTGGGGTGGTCCCCCTCAACCACCCGCAGCGGCCAATGAAAACGGGCAGTATGAAAACGGGCAGAATGGTGGGCAGTATGGCAACGGGCAGTATGATAATGGCCAGAATGGTGGGCAGCATGGTAACGGGCAGTTCAACGGTAACGAGCAGTTCAACGGTAACGGGCAGTTTGATGGCAACGGTGGGCAGTTCAATGGTAACGGGCAGTGATAAGGTAGGTTCTGGAAACGATGACTTTGGAGCGAAGGTTGTAGGGAGACGTTTCATACGTAAAACGGATAATATCGGAGCGGCTTCCGAACGTGTGTCTACGTACTACGAAGATTACGGAAGCTGTTCTTTGATAATTCGAGGCAAGTGTTAGGTTAGAGTAGAGAGTTGCAATGTTTGTTAGTGTTAGTCTGGCAGTTCACCTGTCAAGTATCATCAAAACTAGTATGTAGAGGTACTGTTGAGATGAAGGACGAAACCGAAGAAACCAAATTTGAATAAAACAGAGAGATCATGCTTCAAGGCGGCGTTCGTATGTGTCATTTATCATGCGTCAATATACAAACAGAGGAATGAGAATGGAACATGGAAAGATCTTATGTTCAATACGCCCACTTATATAATTCTCTGTGAAGAATCCCAGTGACTCCGATTACTTTTCTCGAGCAACAAAAACTACCCTAGGTACTTGAACACAACCTCCTCCAACACTGGAAGAAGAAACACCGGACTCGTATTGACCTTGAGGTTGTTGACAACATCAAAAACATGTACCAATACTCACCATACCGACCTCAATATTGGCTGCAGACTCTTACCCTACCAGCTAAAACTCTCAAAATAAGTATTGCAGGAGCTGGATCTCTCAGTCGGGGCCAGTACGAAAGATGGAGAGCCTTCTTTGACACCATCCAAAGATCTACCCAATGGGTAGAGCTTACCGCCTAAGATTGTTACTCGTCCCCACGAGATGAATTTAACAGCGTAGAACTAGACCTTCACCGGATGCGCAGGGTCCGGCTCAAATCAACGCAAAGGGTCTTGACTCAACGGGAAGTAGACGTAAAGGCAGAGAATGCGAAGTGTATCTTGGAAAGATTCGGGTTCCATGTAGCAGAGTCGACGAGATTCAGTTTGGAGATGAGGTGGCTCTGGATTCGATCTGTCCCGAATGCAGGGAGGTTGGGGCACAGGATAACGGGCTTCGGGACTCACTAGAGTTAGAAGTATGAGCCGTGGTATGCCCGAGGCAGTAACTGACGCAAAATGGAGGAATCAATACATGCCCTGAATTTTATCCGTTGTAGACACTGCGCATTAACTGGGCAAACTACGTTGCCATGCCCGTAAAATTTCGGAATTCCAATTTCTTCAAGAATGACTTGGATACAAACCATGGTGTGAACTTATTACGGGGAAGCGAGGAGTTGTTCTTGGATCTTCCACACCGAGGTCAAGTATCTACAGGTAAAGGCAGATGTTTGCGCTACTTTCATGGTTCCCCAATTCCCCTGTTGAGTCAACCACAACAGACCAGTGGAGTGCCCTTTGGAGCTGGATGAGTGATTGTGAAGATTAGGGACTTGTGGGGAATAGCGTGAGTAGGAAGAGCGTGAAGCATGGGGTAAGCGGAGGAATGACACCCGAGTGTGATATGGGTAAGGCCCATAGCACGACAGTCATTCGAGCGAGGTGAAGGGAGATCGATGACCATGGGAGAAATGGTAGGTAAGTTGCAAAGCGGGTAGACGGTGAGCGAGCAGGCACAATTATGCAGGTGCTATGCAGGTGTGGTTTTTAGGTTGTCCAGGATGCATGATGCAAGTTGCTGTCAGTACCTGGATATTTTTGAGAGGAACACGGAGAGGCGTTCTTTGTCTCTGAGGCGGGAGTTAATTGGGACTAGAGGATTCCATTGCCTGTTGGTCATTACTGGTTCCCGTCTTGAATCTACCAACAGATCCGTTTTCATTTGAAGAAAGACCCAACGGGGGTAACCCAACAGCGCATGACGTGTGTAATTTTGACAACCAGCGGTTCGATAATTCATGTGTTCCGCATTTCTCAAATCTAGGGCAGGAGTTCTTTGTTACCGATGGATATATATCATGATTTGACCACCCTGCTTGACTCTACAACGCTCAGAAACCCCAGGGCATCTGCAGATTCCCTTATACTAAACCCTTCTCCAGAAGGGATCTCATTTAACTGTTCACAGTTGCAACTCAACATCATGTCGAACCAACCCAGCCCTGAGACCATTTAACGTGGGCCTCACTGAGCGTGATCTCGAGAAAAAACAAGTTGGGGATTGGTCAGAGTTTTGGGCAGCGCTCCTCCGCCACCCTACATGGGTTTATAAGACGACCTACCAACCCGGCGCCCCTGAACCTCCCCGAGGTAAGGTGCATTACGAAAGATGGCCCAGAGCCCATGTCAGATCCCTACAGAGATTTTCCACCAAGAAAGAGGCGGAAGAGAAGACTAGGGCTGCCCAAGAGATCCTTAGAGGGCTGGGTTTTGTCGATAGCCCTGGACGTGGCATGCCTGAACGTCAAGATCAACTGGGTGGCATTTAGATGAAATGGGGCCATCCATACCGCGAGCGGTTGGAGAGCACCTTTCCGGACTTGGTGAGAGCTGGAATATTGAGGGATGTGGATTACCCCGCTGATGTACCGAGGAAGGAGTGGATCAAGTATATTAAGTGGGAGGTGAGCCATGATTAGACACCGCAGACTATCGAAGACCAAGGGAGAGATGAGGCTGTAGAGGAGGTGAAGGAGGTCTCTGAGGATTAGAAGTGGGCGATATCGTAGCCGCTAGCAGTAGACGTATCCCCAAGAAGGCGGGTGATTCTTTGATCTGGAAGACGTCTGTTGGCGGAAGATACTTACAATGCTGTTTGTTGGTCCGATAGTTCCCGCATTGACTTCACCAACAGACCGGTCGTTCCTCGAGGATGGAACCAACAGGGCTATATTCGTACACTACGCGATGCATACAATAAAGAAGGGCGCTTATCTGGGTCATGTGTCATTACACAGAGGAGGATAAGAACGTTGGTACTTCAAAGCCTTATTCCGATTGCGCGCACATACATTTATCTGAATTGCGCGTCAGACACTCCCCCATATCTTTCCCAAACAACATACAATCTGTACCACACAAGCGCCTCTACTCTTAAAAACGAAGTCAACTGTCATTCTCCGTTCCAATCGTCTACGGGTATCATCAAAATGTCCCAGCACCAGCACCCGGGAGACGATGGACAGTCAGCTCCAGCATCACCTACTGAAGGTGCCCAACGCGCTAGACTCTCCAATAATGAAGAGCCTGGATTTGAGCTTAGGGGACTCAATTTATTCCTCTGGGTGGGACAGAACAATCGAGGAGAGTACGAAGATTGGAGGACCTTCCTCACAGCACTTATCCTCAAATCCTCATGGCAAGAGGTCACAGCCTACGACGAGGACCCCCTACAAAACATCCCGTCTAGCAGAGCAGACCTTCACGAGTCTGCTACCCTGGTTGCCCGGTTTTCGTCATCGCGCAAGTTTAAGTCCGAAGAGGAAGTGGAAAGAAGAGAAAAGGTTGCGAAAGAGATCCTTGAAGCAATGGGGTTTGAAGAGAAACGCAGGTCAGCAAGTTTTCTGGAAATTAAATGGCAGAAGGAATTGCCTATCGATATTGCCATGCTACTTGTGGCCGGTAAGGAGTTTTGGGAAAGGTTTGAGAAACCTACCGCGTCGGAGGCGGTGGCTCAAGCAACAACGGAGTTAGAGTTAGAATCAGCGTCAGTTGCTGGTGAGGAGGGCGAGAAATTGGGGCCTGCTTCTGTATATCACGGCACCTCAAAGGATCTTGATGTATTGGAGGGAAGACGACCACCTGCAGATGCACCCACCCTTTTCTATAAAGGTTTTTGGAATTCCCAATCCTAGAGACGGACACTACCCAACAATCTCTCCCATACCCATCTCATCGTCCTGGCATTTGGGGGTTGTGGTTCTATTCATATCCAGAGGGAGCGAGGTGTGAATCGATGGCGAGGAAGAGGGGGTATGTCTTTAATGCTCGAGATGGGTGTTAGATGTAGGCAGATAATTACAACATCTTGTTGGTTCCAAACTTCCCGTGTTGAACCCACCAACAGACCGGTCATTCTTTGATTGAGGATAGAACCAACATAACCACCCAACAGAACACGGGATACCGATGAGCTCGATAGGCATCAAAGTGCGTTCATACACTTCATACACTCGCTCTTTGACCCATCCAGGCGCCTACCTACCAGTAGTCACGTATTTGAAGCCACTTAATTCCCACCAACCTATTAACATCCTTACTTCCTTCTTTTTCCTTCCTTACAACAAAGCCATCATACCTGCCTGGGGTCACCAAATACTTAGGTAACCAAATCAGCCGCCATCCACATACATCCAACTGAGCTACACCATCCATCATCAACGACAACATGGCCGACTCTCAAGGAATACAGCCTGCTTTCGACATCATTGTCATCGTCATCCACCACCACCACCTCCTCCTCCCCCTCCTCCTCCCCCTCTACCGAATCTCTCACCCCCAAAACAATCACCATCTCCATCCGCAACTTCAACCGTATCGACAGAGCCACCTGGGACAGATGGGACGCCTTCTGGGCTAAAGTGCGCCAATCCGAGCGCTGGAGAACCGAAGCAGGTTACACGATAACTCGCAACGACGGTGGGGAAACATACCGGCTCACGCACTTCGCGAAATGCGCCAGCCCTGAGGAGGCGGCAGCCAAGGCAAAGGGGGCGCTGGAGATACTCCTCAAGGTAGGTGGGTTTTGTCGAGCCACCTCCAAAATGGAGATCGACGAATGATGAGAGTTTTTTGGTTCTTTGGTGGGTTGCGGTAGCAAGGCCTGGCAGACTTTGGGGTGGGGGGGATGGGAGGAGAGATCGGACATGGTATGGTACGGATGGCGGAAAAGGGTGAGCCTATTGCGAAGAGAAGACCTCACCACATTCCAAGGAAATCTAGGTGCACCACCACTCTAAGACCCATAATGTCAGCTGCCATAAAAGCACGGCCGTTTTCTTAGTAAAATCCAGTCTTCTCATGTCATCCGTCTGGCATCCTTCGTCAAACCGCCAACACCGACCGCTACATGAAGACCGCCAGAGCCTGCGTGGCACGGTACTTTCATGTTTGCTGTGAACGCCCCGCCAACTCATGCCGTTACAGCAATCATATCCATAGGCAACCCCGAATCTATCCCTCTTGTTACCACCCAAAATCCCGGTCTTTTTCTTTTTCCATCTATTTTGAATTCCTCGATGCGATAGGGTTTCTCCTTTGGTGCAGTGGCGCTGCAGAGTCGTCATGCGATAGGGAAATCTGGAAAAAGGTCAAAATATAAGAAGAAGTCATGGACTGAAATGAAATGTAATGTTTCGTGCATGGAAAAGGGGAATTTTCACGGGTAAAAGTAGACTTTCTGATGTCAAGTGTCATGAAGTGCCATGGGATGGCAAAGTGGGGAATATCTAGGGACTTAAGAATGCAGTTAGATTTCCTTAAAGTGTGTTGAGGTTTTCTTATTGAAAGAGTATTGCGATTGGACCCGGTTTGATTATCCGGATTTTGTTTGGTTTAAGTATTTGGGGTGTTTCAAGGAGCTGAGGGAAAGGAAAAGGAAGGAGGAAGAGACGAAGAAGACGGAGGCAAATGTTATGTCTAGGAGCTGGGACAGCAGCTGGCGAGGAGAGGACACCGGTGAAAAATGTCGAGGATGAAGGGAAGGTAGATTAGTTGAGTATCTGGGGTGCAGGATGGTTAGTATAGGGCTGTCGAGAAAACGAAAAGACGAATAGGAGAAGGTATGGTTCATCAGGGAGAGTAGTGTCTTATGAGTGTCAAGCAACGCAATGGTAACATTCACAGGCGGTTTTCATTATCATCACACATGTACACTAAGTAAAACAATGCCCTCAGCTCCGGAGCTAGAACCAGTGCGCTAATACGCACGTGTAAATCTCGGGTATCATTTTCCCCATCTTTCTCAAAGTTTTACTCATCCTTCTCTACATTCTCCTCTGGCCAAGGAATACCCGGCCACAGAATCTCCGGACACGTCCCCAACACCGCCATCCTCCTCAGACAATCCGCCCTATCCTTAGCCAGAACATGTGTTAAGATCACCCACTTCTCCAGGGCATACCTCAAATCCTCCTCTTTGCGGCCTCTGACATCGATACCTCTATCAATGCACGCCAACACCACCTCATCGTTCTCCAGCGCCTCGACACCGCCGTCCTTCTCCAACAGCTCCGTGTCTACGGCCAGGAAACGCATGTGCTTGTGCACACCGCGTTCCCTTCCGGCGGGACCCCACCAGCTCTTGACATCGTAGGTGCGAGCCAGAGCGTCCAGCATGTTGAACTGCTCGCAGTCGTCGCTAAGAGGGTCGAGCTGCTCGAGGGCCTCGCTGGCCGTCATGGGGAAGACGTCGATTTCCACAGGGTCATCATCCCCGGGCTTCTCGTGGTCGGCATGGGCTAGGTCCACCCACTCTTGCGCCTGCTCGCGGATCGGGCGCGGGTCTACTTCTTTGCCCGCCTCTCCCCTCCTCTCCCTTTGGTCCTTGATCATCTGCTCGCATTGAGTTATTTCGGATTCGTATAGTTCCTTCTCCTCCTCAGTCATATCCTGCGCTTTCGCCCTCCATGTCGCGAGATCCTCGGCGGTGACTTCGGTGACGTCGCCGGCTTTTATATCCTTCTCGTTTATCTGGTCCTGGAGATCAACGAAGTGGTAATCATCCTCCTCGTACACTTCGCCGATTAATTCGTCCAAAGCCGCCGCCCTCTTCTCTTCAATCCGCTTGAGGATCTTGTCCACCTGCTTCGGAATCCGACACGTATAGGGAACGATGGTGGGCACAGCCAGCACGACGAACGGCGTGAACTCGCCGCACACGAGCAGCAGCAGGCCGAAAATGGGCAGCTTGTTTAGGTCGTGCTTGACACGCTTGTAGAGCAGCAGCGAGCCGCGCGTGCGGAAGCGGAGGTAGCCGTCGATGCAGTCGGCGTCGGTAACTGGGTTCTCGGAGCGGCCGATGGGGCCCTCGCCACCTTTGCCGACGGCGCGCAGGAGCTTGAAGTTGGCAAAGACTTGACGGAGGCCAGTCTTGTAGAAGGTTAGGTAGGCCTTGCCGGTCGCGAAGACGTGGGAGAAGGTGGAGGCGTCAGGTTGGCGTTCGGGCAGGTTGAGAGGTGGGGGACGGGTAGTGTAGGGCGGGTTGACGCCGTGTCGAGCTTGTTGCTCGAGGACGTCGTTTTGGGAGGGCTCGTCCTGGCGGGGGAAGGTCGGTTTGAAAGAGTTACGTGTCGTTGCCGAAAATAAGCGAGCGTTGAAAGAGAGTTGAGAAATCGAAGGCTGGTTCGACTGCTGGGCGAAGGAGAGGAGGCCCGTTGTTGACCTCAGTCTCGATGGGGCAGTATAAGCATGGCGGCAAGCGCTCCGGGCGCTGAGTGGTATCCTGGATATCATTGCATCACCCGACGTATGCAATTGACCTGGAACTTCGGTTGAGCGACAGGTATTAGGTGGTGATGTCGAAGAGAAAAAAGAGGATGTATGGGAAAGGTTGTCCTCTTTTTTGCAGTGTGCACGGCGCTTTTACCAATTGGAGTTGGTTTGTTTAGAACGATGAGTACGTAAATTACGTCAGTGTAGCAATGTGGCCCGAGCTTTTGTCTTATCTCCGCATCTCGCTGTGCGTTTTCCGATGCAATCAATGGGATGAAGATCTGTGACGAACAAGACTTTGTAATTTTCTGGGTTGGAAACTTGAAATATGCCGTACTGGGTGAGTAAAGTTGCCGGTGCTACTGTGGTTAACCAGGACGTGGCACAAGAACAAGAAAGCTAAACTTTATACGACTTGACATTGTTGGCTAACTCGACTTTCTATTCAACTTTAGAGCTTTGCGGATGGCGCATTGAGATAAGCAGTGCACTCAATCTCAACATCGCTGCCGAAGGGCAGCTGGGCTACAGCAACGCAAGTACGGCACTGCACATTTATGTAAGCTTCAATTCTTTTTTCATCTTGTCTCTTTGAGCGTAAAAACGTACCGGCTTGGGCGCAGAGGTAATAAACTCGTCATAAGCCTCGTTCATGGCAGCAAAGTTGTCCATGGTGGTGAGGAACACGTTCACCTTGACGACGTTCTTGAGGCTGCTGCCAGCCGCTTCGAGGACGGCCGAGAGGTTCTTGAAGACCTGTCTCTGGATGGGGGAAGAGGTATACTTAGTACATGTCATCTCGACTATTAGTTTGATTATGCCATACCGTCCGGTCCTTAACAGTTCCCTCGATCATCTTTCCGGTGGCCGGGTCGATACCGAGACTGCCAGAGCAGTAGACCATGCCATTGTACACAACGGCCTGGGACAGCTGTGGGATAGGCGCGGGGGCCTTGGTCGTCAAAATTGCCTTTGCGGGAGCCATTGTGTCTTGCTAATTTGGAGAGACTAGATGCAACTTAAGCAGCGTACGTAGATGTAGACAGGAGAGGAGGTTGAGGTGGTTATATAAATGTCTTGTCCCGGATGATTGTCTAACGTGCAAAGTGGACTCATTGGACCTTTCCACTCGGCCACCATCCCATGTCGGTGCTAACGCGCATCCTTCCTGCAGCTCTTGTGGGGCCCGAGATATTGACCCTCACGAACATTGAATGTTTGTGTCAGTGGCAGCGCCGAAAATTCAAGAAAGGAAAGCATCAAGTGGTCAATTGACAACCGAGTATCGAGTTTGGGAATTTGATAACTCCGAAGCTGAGAGGCTATTCCAGGGCATCCACGTACGATTGATGCAGTTACTCTCAAGCACATCGATCACCTCAGAGGGGGAGGGATAGGGATATGTCCCATTGGTGAAGAACCAGAGGTCCAACTCGAGAATTGGCCTCAGGTACAATATCCCGTGCTTGGAGACCGAGCCATGACTTATCGACACTTTAAAGTCATCATTGACAGAGCAGAAACACAGAAGAAAGGTGAGATGAAAGTTGAAGTCTGGGGCAGGGATGATTGTGACCCAACCCGCGCTAGGAATGATCTGCTCTTGCCATTAGCCAATCAAAATCTATACAATTGGTCTTTCCCTCTTGGCAGGGGTCCATTCCTTCCCCCACTATGCAACGGGCTGGCCTCGACAGAAGGGACTTGGGACGACACGAACAACGAAGCGGATCTCTTCAGTCCACTCATTCTTTTTTCACTTTCTCCAAAAGCTTCGTCTTGACTTTCATCTCCACGTCAACAGGCCAAAATGGACTGGCCATACCAGTTCCTCGACCTCTCCCAGGACGAGAAGCATGCCCGTCGCCAGTCTCTCGACAGATATGCTCTGTACGCTCAGCTTTCAGCTTTGATCCCCATCGGCCTCATCTGGCTTTACCAAACCGTCAACAGGTCCTCCTCCTCCTCCTCTCGTCAAAAGAGGGACTACACCGCGGTCTCCAGCTCCGACTCCTTCAACACCCGGAAGCAAAGCAATTCCTGGTCCAAGTTCCGCTGGTGGCTAGGCGAAGATGTCGTCGCCTTCGGAGAAGTCCTAGGCCAGCGAGACCAATGGGTAGGCGGCATCATCTGGGCCATCTGGCTCTTAATCCTCTGCGTAGCCGGCACCGGCCGCGATTACATGCACTTGACCAAGCGCTTCGGCATCGTCGCCGTCTCGCAGTACCCTATGCAGTACATGTTAACCCTCAAGTCCTTCAACCCGGTCTCCTGGACGCTCAAGCTCTCGCACGAGGAAACCAACCGCTGGCACCGCGTGCTCGCCCGCGTCACCACTTTGTTGCTCAGCTTGCACACCATCTTCTACTACAACTACTTCATCCAGAACAGCATCCTTTTACAAAAGCTGCAGTCACCCGTGGTAGTCTACGGCATGCTCTCCTTTGCTGGTCTAAACCTGATGATCACCACCGCCTTGCGTCCGCTCCGCAAGCTTTCCTACCGCGTCTTCTTCGTCACCCACCTTCTCATCGCCCTCGGCCTGCCGGTCGTCCTCTGGTTCCACGCCTCTTCCTCGCGCAAATACATGCTCGAAGCCCTGGGCGTGTTCCTGCTAGACATCGGCTTTCGCAAACGTGACACCATCACCGTGGAAACCACCATCTCCTCGATCCCTGGCACTTCCCTCATCAAAATCCAAGTCCCCGTCCCCCGCCAGCGTCAGAACCATTTCCTCCGCGGTGTCGCGCCGGGTGCTCACGTCTACATTAACGTACCCCCCGCCACTCGCAGCGCTTTTCGCAGAAAGGACGTCAAAGCCGCTAACGATGCCTCGGAAGTCTTGTTCGAATTCATGTTCAACCCCTTCACCATTGCGCACGTCGATCAGGACTCTGGATCCCTCACCCTCGTTGCCCGTCAGCGCGCTGGCCCGATGACCAAGGGGCTTGCCCGCTTCGCCTCTTCCTCTTCTTCCTCCCCTGCTCCCTCCGCTGGTTCAGCAGAGAAGAAGGCCCTCCTAAACATCGAAGGCCCCTACGGCGCCGCCAAGCATTTCCCTACACTATCCCTCGGATCCGAATTCGATCGCATCCTGCTCATAGCAGGCGGCGTAGGCGCCACCTTCACCATCCCGCTGTACCGCGGCATTGTCGCTGAGAACCCTGATACCAAGGTGGAGATGGTCTGGGCGGTGCGTACAGCGGGAGAAGCTACGTGGGCTGTCATGGAGAACGATGCTAGAGATATCTTGAATGATTCCAACGTGCACATTTATCTGACCGGCAACAGTGGGTCTGGTCAGGAAGGTGGAACTGGAACAGGACTTAGTAGCGGTGTTGATTCCGGTGAGAATTCACCGGCTTTGATTAATTTGGGGGCAGGAATTAATGGTGCTGTTGCGATGGAGATGAATACCCTTCGAAGAACGGCTGATGGTCGGGTGGTTGCTAGAAAGGAGCAACATCGAAGCAGACCGGATGTGAAAAAAGTGGTTGATGAAGTCTTTGCCCATGAACCGCACGAGCGCGTAGCCATTTTGGTTTGTGGACCGACCAAGATGGGGAAACAAGTAAGGAGGTACGTGGGGAGGTATGTGAACGAGGGGAGGGAGGTTTGGTTCCATAATGAGGGTTTTGGGTTTTAGTGTTTACTACTTTGTAGTACCCCTGTTCTAGAGCTTGTTAGAGTTCGTTGTAAGTCTGTTTTGATTAAGATGTATAGGTAGTGTCTAGACTACTAGCGAAACCTGTTGCATTACTATACTTGGTTTTATGACATAACCATAACTGATTACGTCTCTCATCTGATTGATCACTCACTCACCCTGTTGTTCT